GTCCTGCTGTAATAGCGTAAAAACTTTAGGGTTTTTACCTGACCTTTACTCCCGGGCTTAAGGTTTAATAAGACTGGTCTTTCATGCAGCATAATTGGCAGTGCCATATGTATATGTGCCTTAAACAAAACACACTGCCTTTCAATGCCAATAGAAAAATATTCTGATGGTTTATGACCAGAAAAAGCCCTAGGGTTAAAAAGTGCTAGCAACAAATGCATTTCTCTGTGGTACAGTTTACAACTGTTAATGTGTTAAAGCGTAATTAAGAACTGTGGACTAGACAAGCCTTTGCTTGTGGTTGGGCTCAGACCTGTAATCTGGAAGCAGGAGGGGAAGCCTGTGCATGTGCAAAAACTCGGGGGGAGGAAGCTCGCTTCCTGCCCAACTGCTCATTCCGTCAGTCACACAGCAGCCTTTCGGTGTGACCTGCCCGGCCTTTTAGCTGATAATGTTTCAAATCCTGAAGTACTTCGGAAGCAGTGAGAGAGGAACACGTGCAGGAGCTATCAGACCTCTCTGGTAGCATTTGCCTACTCGGACCTAAGCAGCCTCATGAGAACCTGAGCTGCCTGTTCATTAAGTAGGTATTTAATGTATTGTGTACATTGTTCCTTAAACTGGGCACGCTTGCAGAGGCTGGTAGTGTAATCAAACTGAAAATGTTAATTGCCGTTTGTATAATGAACACATGATGATGCATCTCTTTCAGAGAGTAAGGCTGAAGTCGGTCTGATACTGTACATCTTGAGGCATGGCTGATGAGGTGGTACCTACACCTCTTATCAGTTAAACAGGGAGTTATAACACATGTTGTGCCTGTGGTACCGACTCAGATGGGTACTGTGGTACTCTGCTTTTATTTTCTTCTGCTTGTTTTCCTCCTCTTCTGGGAATGATCTGGGATGATACTGTTGTTCTACCTTCTCGTGTTTCTATTTTATTTTAAAGTGCCTGATCTTGCACCCACAAAAAAAAAAGCGGCAAACATTTGCCTAGATTGTAAAATTAATTTACACACTGGGTAATTCTCAAAGCAGCGTGGAAGGGTTCCTGATGCTGTTTTTCAAAAGACCCATTTACAGAAAATGGTCACGTAGAATGCAAAAAATACTCCCAAGTACCAGGAGAGTGTGCTTGCACAGGGTGTAAAATCTAAGGCTTAGTCACCTGAAGTAGCTTCATCTTGCCAAAAGAACCACTTTAATGTAAAACATTTTCTGTCTGTGAGCCACTAAGAGCAGTATTTTACTATTCTTATTTGTTTGCTGATATCAAGCAGAACTTTTTTTAATGCAGACTAGCAGTAACCAATCTGTAACATGAACAGAAATGGGTTTAAGTTTAGCACTGGCAACGATGTTTCAGGAGGTGGGAAGCCCTGGGAAGATCAGACAAGGATGTTCTTTAGTTTGCTTCATCAGCTGTCCTTCAATTTGCTGCAGAAAGCTCTCTCTATGTTTCTGCTTGCACTGGCTCAGACAGTCATCTGGTCAACATTATTTTTGGTTTGATGTCATATTTCTTTGGAACAGATACCTGTATGGCCATGTGTTTGCCAGGGGCAATATGTGGGAAGTTGTAAAGGGAATGAGAGTCTGCTCTTCATGTTGATGTCATCATCTTGGATCAGCGTAGGTTCCTTGCATTGAACTCTGTGTCTCTCAAGCTTACAGTTCCTAGAGTCAGTGGCAAACTATTAAACTGGTGAAAAATGTGATTCAAGCTGTTAAACACGGTGTAAGTGGGTCTGATCCCTCCTTGTGGTGAAACCATTTCTCTTTCTGTTTAATATCTAATACAGCACCAAAGGGGTTGGTTGGGCACTTGTTACACCTGGGAAAGCTCAATGAAGGTACAGGTGTGATCTAGCTAAGGACCAGGCACAAATCTGGAGAAGTTTACTTGTACATTGCTCCCCTACACTATTAATTGAAGTATCCTTGATGTGTTGTCTGTGAACAGCTTGTATGGAGCTGTTTCTTCTAGACACAGTCACTTCCTCAATGATATGACAGGGTTTTGTGAGAGTCACTGTAGTGGCTCTGTTCTCTGCAGGAATTTAACAGGGAGTAAGGAGTCTCGGTGACAGGCTAAACTTGCCTGAGTTGTCCTACTGTTAATGCTTTTGAAGTAACATTTTGCAAAAAACATTTGTGGTGATAGTTTGCTTTTCTTTTGAAAAGCCAACCAAACATTGTGTATTATCGGAAGGCCTTTATTATATGCTGAAGTTCAGACTTAATCCTGAGTTATTGTTAGAAGTAGATACTTAACCTGTTTCTTTTCTGTTTCTAGCTAAAGTACAAGTGCCTGTCTAGAATGTCCAGGCATGCACAACATCTTAGAGACCATGATATAAATCCATGTGTAGCGGTAAGATGATCAAATTGGGATTTCTGTTTGAATGTTTCAATCTTAAGTGAAGCAGTTTCTAGAGATTTTTTTTTTCCATGGATATCACTCTTCCATTGGCATTCTGAATAAAAAGTTTCTTAAAGAATCTGAAGATGGCAAGAGCTGGAAATCATTTGTTATAGTAAGTGTGGAATAACAATGAATAATTCCTTGTACTTAGGAGTAGTACAACTGATAGCAATCTCATCAATTTTCTATCCTTAAAATAAGAGCTGGAAATCTTGGTTAGACAAGCTTGGTTGGTTTTTAAAGTCTTTTGTGGATTATACCAAGCATCTTTGTAAACAATTATTTCGTGGGCTTTATCCTTACTATTTAAATAGTACTACTGTCTGCTATCTTAAAATGAAGTAATTGCTTGGAAATACTGTTTATCCTTTGTGATAGATGTTCCAGTGCTCTCTTTGATAGTATTCTTTCATCTGAGAAGCTGCCTCCTATCTTCATAGGTATTCTGGGAGATGTTAGAATTTGTAGACACCGAGTACAGTAACCTCCCTCAACTCTGAAAGTACCTTTTCCCTATTAAAGGAAACAGATGCCTCTAGAAAATGTATGGATGACAATAACTATAAAAAGGATATGTGTACTGCTTATTTTCTGAAGTACAAAAGCTGCAGAAAATTCTGGGTAAGCACAGCGGATTTTCTAAATTTTACTTCATGCTTTGTTTTAAGTATATTACTTCTAACAGTGCTTTCTGAATGCTTCAAACTTAGCTAGTGCTGACTGCTACTGTTTCTGTGGTGAACTACAGGCCTAGGTAGTCTTGGTATGTGTTGCTGGAAGACTTAAGGAGATGCACATCAAAGTACTTCACTTGGTTTTCCTAAGTTTACCCTGTTAGACTGTGAGAAGGTGTTCTTGCAGTATCTGGTATGTTTCCCTCTGAATTTGTGTCAGATATTTCTAGTAATAAGTTCTGTTTTAAATGGATATAATGAAAAAAATTTGATAGGAGGATGAGTTCATCTGATTTTAGTTTGAGTCGTGTTTACTTTAACCTAAGATAATGCTTAGAAAGAGTTCACTTTTATTTGGTGGTGTCCTTGTTTCTTTCTTGTGGTAGAGAAGTGTCATGACAAACTATGTGCAGTTAAACTGTTCTCTGCTGGTTCCTTTCATAGTAGTAAAGAGTCTTTTAGCTTAGCCTTTGACTACCTGCACAAACTACTGAAAAATTACAGACCATTGCACATTAGTCTGACATAGTGTAATGGGAATAGTGTAATTTCACTGTCTTCTGAAGCAGCAAGGCAAACTATCAGATATCCTCAGTTAAATAGTAGTTCATTTAATTAGCAGCTAATCATTGAGTGTCTGACTCGATATAAAAAGTACTTCTATTAAAGAATCTTACTCATTTGGAGCTCAGAGGCAGAGATTTTTTGAGAAATCTGTGTTCTCATAGTCATTTTCTTTTATTTTCAGCACGACATTATGATGCAAAGGAGAAGAAATGGTGTGAAACCAGAGATGCCTGCAGCAGAAGAGAGAAAGAAAATATTGGAATCAATGGAGAAGCCCTATTGACTAGAAACTTGTGTTGACTTTTTTCACTGTACATATAAAGACTTATCAGCAGCAAGTTGCCCTTCTTTGAAGTGGACTTTAAAGTTATCATATTTTGGATTAAAATTTTGAAATGTGTGAGCTTTCTTGGGATAGAACTTCTTGATTTTATTAATTCTCCCTGTTCTGGGAGTTTGACATGTCACTGAAAGACATGAGTATCAACACAACTTGTGCCTAGACTCTCTTTGGAAGTAGAAACTAACTTGCTGTGAAATGCTAAATATAAAATAAACAGGACTCACAGAAAGTCCCTTTGGAGAGATGGGACTGGTGAGTGTTGCAGTGTAGCTCTGGGGATACAGGAGATTGAGACTGGTATGTGCAACATGTTCCTTTTATCCAGCTATTCTGCCTAATAGCATGGATAGTATTTTCATGCAAGTTGTATTCTATGTCTCTGGTTTAAATAAGACTGTTCATGAACTAAAATCCTAAATCCAACAAACTTGTTGCAGGTTTACCACTGCACTCACTAGTGACAGCAGAAGCTTGCAGTAAATCAGATCTACAAGCTTTGCTTGCCACAAGGTTAGAGAGGCTGATGAAGAGCTGAACTCCTCAGGTCTTAACCGAATCGTACTTCTGTAGATAGCAAATAGATACTTTGCTGGAAAGGAGGTGGGGGGGCTCGTAGACATGTAAACATATACTCTGAGTGACATGGCAGGTTTAACTATAGTACATTTATCTGAGACTCTGGACAGCTGAAGCCCTGAGTTTGGAAATGCTTACTCGTACAAGACTACAAAGCTCGGTTTGAACAGGTACTCTGATCTTAAATAGATTCCCTAAACTGAACAAAGTGTAAACTGGTTACTATCTCGTACAAACACAGTTTTCTTACCTCTAGTACCTTATAGTGTCCTGGCTTGAAAGTTTACACCCAGTGGTAAAACAGAAAAACCACTGTCATGAGCTCAAGTTCCATGTGAAATCCTTTAGGACTTGCTGTGATCAAGTTGGCAGAACTCTGGCTGACCTCATTGGAGGATGGTGTAAAAGTGTTGTCTCTCTATTTAGACTGTTTTGGAAAGACTTCATGGCTTCCTGTTTCTCCTCCTGTCTGGCTTGTCTTATTTCTTTCCACTGGAGGCCTATTTGTATGCTTAGTGGGATTGTTATGCTGTTTCCACCTCCCCCCCTTTTTACTTGATTGGGCTAGTAACTAATGGAGGCCTGCTTTTCCTCTTCTTTCTCTCTGTTCTCATACATCTGAGGGGTTTTTTAAATGGATTGATCATACCCTTTCTGTTACTGGAATGAGTGTGTAACTCTATGCCTTCTGAGCATGCAGTTCTCTCAGCATAGCTGTGCAGCTTCCAAGCCATGTCACAAGTTCTCTAGTCAGTTCCTGGCAAGGGAAATAGACTTTCTTTGGTCAAGATCATCAAATTCTTTATTTTAAATTACTTTCTCTGCACTTAAAATGCGACCTTAGATTTTGTTGCTCTTGTGTGGAACAGAGAAGAAACTTTCATAACAAATTCAAAGGCTTTTTCTTGCCTGTCACCCTCCAGTGTCCTCCTGCATAGCAGTCTACTTTTTTGCCCATTGGACACTAGTTCTTTTTTAGTGATTTGAGCATTCTGATCTGTTTTCATTCAGACTTTTTTCATGTTAGTTTTGTTCTGTCTCTAATGTTGTACAGCTGTTGTGTCTCTACAACTAATGTTGTAGTCCTGATATGACTAACACAGCTCCTCTGGAAGGTCTTTGTTCTTCCTGTCTTGGTGAGAGGAGAACTTGCTTTCGTTATTCAAACTTAGCTGTAAGACTTCATTGACCATGCCTCTATTTGATCTTCCTGTTCATCTGCAGTTTTGGGGGAGCTGAGTGTCCCCTCTTCCTTAGCGCTGTATCTCTCTGGGCTTTTCTGGTTTTGCTGCCTTACTTGTCTAAGGGCACCTTCTCTCCCACTTGGCACAGGTTTGTCATCTGGCACCTCTGCTGTATCTTTGGGCATGTTCTTTGCTCCTATGGCTTTAGCTACTGTTCTAGCACTTGCTGTTTTCCTTTTGCTGTGCTCTTATGTTTTGGGCATATGTTAAAATCTACTGTATGTTTTAGTACTATGCAAGAAAAAAAATGCATCTCCTCTTGATGTGATTACACTGATTATCCTTGCATATACTCATGTTCCTTAAAGTTGTCTGATTTATCCTAGATTTTTCCTTTCAAGTTTTCTTTAAGCATAGAAATGCCTTTTTCTCTGGGTTAACTGTTGCATTTACATTTTTTTCCTGCCAATATTTACTTGGGAAGTTTCTACTTTGTTTGATTTTTTTTTTATTTTTTCTTTTAAAGGACTTATCTTTAGACTTAAATTGATTCTCTGTACTCCTTTGTAAAGTGTATGTAAAGAACAAGTACTGGATTTCAGAAATTCAGAAGAGGAGATGCATTCCCTGCTTTCAAGTATCAATACAGGAATGTGGGATCACACAACAGACTAAGGCACATGTAATGCAAGAACAGTATTCTAATATTAGACTTCCTGATCATCAGTGGACAAACATGGTAAGCTCCCTGTGGGTGTTAACAACGAAATTTGAGTTCAGCGAAGAATTAAAGGCAGTTTAAGCAGTGAGCTTGTTAATTCAGGTAATCAGTCATCTGTTGTAGGGAGTGCATTTATTAATTTATTTCCATTGCATATGCTTTATAGTTACTGTTAAACAAAACTTCATGAAAAATCTTGGAAAGCAAGGAGCCATAACGCATCTCAAGTGTAATGCATTAGGTCTGAGTTTTCATCATTTTGTCCTCTCGCTGGAGATTGCTGTTCTTGCTTTCACTACTGAAGCTCAAGCGTGGTAAGTTATGATAGCTAAAACATAGACTCCTATGTATGAAATAGTTGAGTTTTCTTCCATTAATTTTTGTAGTATTATTAACGGTATTTGGTTGTGAGCCAAAGATAATGGTCTTTTCCTTATATTCCATGCTACACTGAAACACTGAGATAAGCTGTAGTCTGCCAGTCTTGCCAGGCAGAAATAAACTGGGCTGAATTCTTAGTTTTGCTTACATTTATTTTACTTATGCACTAGCACAGAAAACAACACAATGAACTAATACGATTAATTCAGAAGCAAGGAAAAGACCTGTGGGTTTGGTTTTGTTCAAGAGGTGTAATTATTCACTTTGCTTGTGGTACAAAGACCAAATCTGGATAGCAGCATTAAAGTTTCATTTTTTTTTAATTTCTTTTTTGTTTGACAGCTGGATGGTGCTGTTGTACAACAGACTGTATGAAAACAGAATTGCTCCACCCACTACTGGCTCTTTTGAGCTGCTTATTTTTTTAGCCTCTTCCCACAGAGGTATCAGAACTCATGTAGGACGAAGGAAATATTGGTGCTGCCTATAAACAGAAGGCAAGAGTTTAAATCACTACAGGGAAATAAGAGCTTTCTGTGCAGCCTGAGAAGCTTTGGAATATGGTCCTTGAAAGAGTATTTTTCACTATAGCCATCTGATTACAGGTGAGCACTGATCACAGCTGCTGCAGGATCTCTGCCAGGCCAAGGTGAATGTCCAGACTCCCATCTGTAGATTTGCATCATCTCATGTTTCCTAGCACTTTGTAGGGCAAGACCATTGTATCTTTGGCTCTGGAAGTTTGCTGCTGCCACAACTGAGATGTGTCTGTGCTCTTGAAGGTGTTAGTGTGCCATCTAGCTCTAGAGTCCTGAGGGCTTCTTGGGTTTTAATAGCTGAAGCTTTGAGAGGCAGGGAGGTACATGGGATGCAGCTCTGAGTCTATTTCATAGTATTCTAATAAAACTTTCCTGCTTTTGTGTGACCGAGGACATGCATATACAGGAGAGTTCCCTAAAATTCCAGGAGAATAAATAGGATGGAGGTTGAGTATACAATGATACTCTGCCCTAATGCTTTGGGAGGCCACCCTTAACTTGTGCTAAAAAGTATCCACATCTGTGAAGTGTGTAGAGACCTAGACAAGGTTGAGAAGTGGGCCTGTGTCAACCTCAGAAGGTTTAACAAGGCACTGTGGAAGGTCCTGCACCTCACTTGAGGCAATTGCCTGTATCAATACATGTTGAGGAATGAAGGGATTGTGAACAGAACTTGTGGGTACTGGTGGATGAAAACCTGGACGTGAGCCAGCAATATGTGCTTGCAGCCCAGAAGGCTGACCCTGGCCTGGGCTGCATCAAAAGAAATGTGACCAGCAGGTGAAGGGAGGAGATTCTGCCCCTCTTCTCCTGTGTGATGAGACCCCACCTGCAGTGCTGTGTCCTCCTCTGGAGACCTCAGCACAGAAAGGAAGCAGGTCCAGAGGAGGTCTAGAAAAAAAAAAAGAGAGATGACACATCTCTGCTATGAAAAGAGGCTGAGAGTTGATTTTGTTCAGCCTGGAAAAGAGAAGGCTCTGGGAAGGTCTTATTGCAGCCTGTCAATATTTCGAGGGGGCCTATAAGAAAGATGGGGGCAATCTTTTTAGCAGAGCCTGTTGAAATATGACAAGGGGGAATGGTTTTAAACTAAGAGAGGGTAGATTTAGACTAGTTGTAAAGAAGAGGGTGTTTGTTTTTTATAGTGTGAGTGATGAAACACTGACACAGGTTGCACAGAGAGGCGGTAGAAGCCCCATCCCTGGAAACATTCAAGGTTGGACAAGGCTCTGAGCAATGTACTGTAGTTGAAGATACCTGTGCTCGCTCCAGGGTGCTTGAGCTAGATGGCCAACCATTCTATGTCTATGAAAGTCAGTTTTCCAAAATAGCTATTAAAAAACTAACTATTATGAAAAAATGTTGGTGAAAGTAGTGTGCTATTGCAGGCTTTTATTCTCTTACAAGGATCTGAGGCAAGTGGAGGAAATCACTCTGTAAGTTTTAAAGTGGTAAAAAGTGAACCAAGCATATGTGATTTGTGATCACATCTAGGCCTCAGGTTCAAAGTTAATCTTGGAGGTTCCATTCTACAGCTTT